TATCTATCTATCTATCTATCTATCTATCTATCTATCTAGCTATCTATCTATCTGTCTATCTATCTATATCTTCCGTACTTATATATATTTCTACCTATCTATCTTTTGAAATCTATCTGACAAGCCCACTGGCTGTCATAATCACCCTCTCCTTCGTCGTAATCGTCCCAAATACTGCTATCTGTGAGTCAAGCCGTGAATAAATTCGCTGGCACCCGCATCAGAACGGAAAATTGTAGTGTAGAGGAACAATAATTATAATTGAAAGCCTTACGGGAACCACGCCATTAGTAGTAGGAAAAAGATATCGATGACTTAAAATTGTCTTTCTTTGGGGTGTTTATGTAAACACACGACTGTCATCACTTTTAGTATTCCAATCACATCGCCATCGTGTTCTTTCCACATACGTCTATTTTAAATACATGTATATCGTGACCGTCTCTCATGAATATCGTATGTCAAAATTTCAGTTTTTGGGGAGAAGCAAAAAGCTGTTTAATTTCATTCAGCGTGTTATCTCAATACAAAATGTTAATCATTAATCTGTTATTATTTTAAGAAGAGATCATATGAGACTAAGACCAATTGGAGTGCCTCATTAAACTCTACAACATGTTTGATTTTCATTTTTTCCAAATTTTGACATACGACAATGTTGAAAGACAGCGAGGGCGTGGCACGTAGAGGTGACTACAGCTGTTTCTGATAACCGTGATATTGATGGACGGGACGGAACAAACCAGCCAGACAGTTGTTTCAAACAGACAAAGGCGAACGTTATAGATTGCAACTAATTCCACGTTTCCTCTTGTTATCTTCATTATCATCATCATTAGCCTTTTTTCCCTACAGTTCCGGAGTATAGACCACCAACAAGAACTCTCCTTGTTTCGTTAGACCTTCCTTTCTTTCTGTTTTCTTTCGATATAGGGTAATATTAATTGTCCCACGTACTCTTCAATAATGATGTTATAAGTTATGTCTTCAGACACTCCCATCGAAAATGTCGTCTTCGTGTTGTTTATGTGGCCATTAATAATCTGGGATTCGTTACAGCGCGTCACGTTTGACACCATTTTTTTTTCAACTTGTCTAAATTTACATGAAAAACAAAGAGACGAAATTAGAATATTATAATGTGACTCATCTTTATCTGCTTAAAACATTGCCCTATGGGTACACTCGATCTCAAGGCACAGGCTTCGTTCTTGGCAGTAGGCTACTAGATCTAGATATCTAGATCTCAACACGTGAGGACGGCATGCATTGTTGAAGCAATCAGCGGGTGGATGATGGGTGAGTTTCTGGGTGGTATCATCTAAAACATTAACGAATAGTGGATCGTCACAGTCCACAAAATGTACAGAGGCAGTCTTCAAGGAAGATCTTAGAGAGAAAATAATTAGGCCTGGAGATCACATTACGGAAAAGTTCTCGAATATACTACAGCTTTTCTTTCTTTTTTTTTTTTAAATGCTCGATACCCTCTTTCAGTATATTTGAGATAAGCATTTTTGGAAAGGTCACTAACGTATTGAGATGGAGGAGCTGAGGTGTGAAGGAGATGAGATCATATTGTAAATACGCGATGAGATGGGGTAAACACGAGCTGAGATCGACTGGCGTGTCTTACAACCCTTTCAGCGTTAAAATATAACTATATTATTATAGTTATGCCTATCAGCTCATTTGATGAAGGTGATGTCAGATTGAAAACTACTGATGTGAATAAAAGTCGGAGGCAAATTTTGAAATTCATTCAGTAGGTCCATATTTTAATGTAGATGTGTTTCTACGACCCTTCGATATAATTTAAACCATTTAGGAGGCGGGCTTCCAATCCTGCCAGACAGAGTCACTCGATAAAAATGTATTTCACCTCGGGAATCGAACTTGGGTTATCCGTGTGCGACTGCACAGCGCCTAACCGCTATACCACATATACCGGAAGAAGGATCAAAGTTCTCTTTTGCCAACAGTAGAGTTCTTAGCCTGACTTCAGGGGAGATTATACAACACGACATTTAGACAAAGAGCATTTAGACGAAATGACTAAAAGTTATAAAATCAGAGTTACCTCCTTTACAGATTAGCAAAATTCTGTTGCATAACACGCTTAAGTCCAGTTGCTTTTTGCACAATTTTTTTATCAACATCCTCAATGTGACTTATAGACCATTGATTTTTCTGACCTTTTCAATTCTTATCTCATAGACTGAACTTTATCTCTGTCTATCTGTCAGTCTGTCTGTCTGTCTGTCTGTCTGTCTGTCTGTATGTCTGTCTGTATGTCTCTCTCTCTCTATCTATCTCTCTCTCTCTCTCTCTCTCTCTCTCTCTCTCTCTCACACACACACACACACACACATACACACACACACACACACACTCAAACACACACAAACACTCACACTCACAAACCACACACTCACACACATACACACACGCACACACACACTCACACACACACACACACACACACACACACACACACACACACACACACACACACACACACATACGCGCGCGCGCACACTCACACCGACCCTCACGTGAACACGCATACACTTGACGTGAAAGAGTGCAAAAACAACACAACAACACGCACTCCCCCCCCCCCCTTCCCCCGCCCCGGTCCCCATCCCTCAATTCACATGTCCACACCATAAACTTTTACAATTATACTATCCTAGACCGGGCCCTGGGGCTCTCGTGGCCCAGAGGTTAAGGTGTAGCCTCTCATTCAAAGGTCCCAGGTTCGAATCCGAGTAGCAACCGAAAATTTTTCTTCTCTAAAATTGTCTCCTTTCACCTCCTTTCCTGCTTTCTAGCAATGTTGTGTCGTTTGCTTTCGTCTCCTCTTTCTGCCCCCGCCCCCTTGCTTCGTTGCGCCTTTATAGGGGGTCGACTCTAGAGGATCCCA